AATTGATGGTGGTATGCATTGAAAACATCGGAAAAATTTTTCAACGTATCGTTTGTAGTTTCCGTTAAGTAAGGTGATGAAATTGGAAAATATTATGGTGAGCAAACACAGTACATCTGTTTTTGTCTACTGGGAGCATATTTTGGGAATGAAATTTTTACTTCAGTGAACTTTGAATGTGTTAAAATTACATATAAAAAAAGGCAAAGAAAAAATATGACTGAATGTGCATTCTTGCTCTTTCATGAGATCCCCAAAGTATTGTATGGCATTTGGTTTAATTCTCTTCTGGCAATATGCGATTAATAATTTATTGGTTTGGGAAATCGCTATGTCACACTCCTAATGTTGCGACAGCCCACTGCCTCCTGTTGAATAGAACAGCAGTACCGTATTGTATTTGTTTGTCAATGTGGCAGAAACAAAAATGTCTTTGGTTAAACCATGATAAAATTTGAAAACAGGGAGCGGGTGCTTGAGCCGTCGTCTCGACAAAACGACGAGTCCGCTTTTTGAGGGAACCCGTCCCCCATTTTCCAATTTCTCATCACAAGCTTCCATCTTCTCCTTCTTGCCTTTTGATTAGATTAAGTTAAACTAACGATGGGAAATTCTTGAGCACTTTGCTGTAGCAGTGAAGTGTGGTGTATGAGCCCTTTTTCATACATTACCTTCAACATATCATCCTACAGTGACGACACAAGACAATCCACTGTTCCTTCTTGTGTAGGCATGAAAAAGTGTTGGCAGTTCAGTACTTCTCAGGTTGTTGAGCGTAGTTTTGGTCACTAAGACAGGGCTCACTGCTACAGCCAGCGGAAGGAAACTTCAAGCCATTCCAAGCCACGCCTAAAACAAAAACATTATCTGCCACATCTAGCCTGGATCTTGCCTCACAAAGTTTCTTCCACGTCGAGTTTGTGCAGTATACAGCATGGCAACAGCTAGAAGCCTTGATGTCTGTTGTCGTTGCTGCTGCCACCGATCACAGCATTGAGTTCTTTCTGCGGCTAGTGTAGTTATCTTTATGGCATCCATTAAAATGTCAGTGTCAGGGAGATTGATACGGTTCACAGTCCTACTTACTGTATTTACTCAATTCTGGGTTGACCAATTTTGTCATAATTTGAAATATGAAGTTAAGGTGGTCGATTTCGAATCGAAAACTAGTTTCAGTTGTAAAATTGTTCTCAAAATAATACCTGCGTATTTTTGCAAAGGTAGCTCTTCTGCACAGCTTTCAAGCGATGCCGTGAAGCCGCCTTGGCACACCGAAATTTGATTTAGTTTTTTCGGACACATCGTAAATAAATTTTATTGCGATAGCAATTATACGAACTCTGTCGGCTGGATATTGCCACCGACATGGGCGACTGCCGTCATTCACCATATATGTATACGTATCTATATATATAAAAACACAAGAAAAATAATCCAGGCCCTGTCGTGGTGGTCTAGTGGCTAAGGTACTCGGCTGCTGACCCGCAGGTCGTGGGATCAAATCCCGGCTGCGGCGGCTGCATTTTCGATCGAGGCGGAAATGCTGTAGGCCCGTGTGCTCAGATTTGGGTGCACGTTAAAGAACCACAGGTGGTCGAAATTTCCGGAGCCCTCCACTACGGTGTCTCTCATAATCATATGGTGGTTTTGGAACGTTAAATCCCACATATCTATAAAAAATAATCCAGAAAAAGACTCCAGCATGCGGAATCGAACGTCTCACCTCTCAATTGTGAGTGCAAGACGTTAGCCACTGAGCCACAAAGGAAAACCTCCTTCAAGGACGAAACGGCAATCTATTTATATCTACCACTTACCCCTGGCGATGGCCACCTAGGGAGAACTATCGTGTTTTCAGCATTACCTGCAAGATGGCGCAGTAAGCACGCGTCGCCAGATCGTCACAATGCGGCGGCGTAGCGCTGTCATCTCCCGCACGTACTTTGCCCTGCAGAGAGCAGAGGAGGGAAGGGGGACGCTCACGCATGTGCTCGGTTATCTCGCGGTGGGAACAATGTTACGCCTTGGGCTTTCACCGGAACGATTCTGTTGTAGTTACAAAGGTCGCGCACAAAGGTCACTGCACTCGTTGCACAGTCTCTCTCCGTTTGCGAAAAGGGTGCGCTTTTCAGACACAGTGAAGTAACAACTAAGACGCTTATTCGCGTTCATATTTACCTGTGAGTACATTTCGTGCATCATTTGTGCATGAGAAACGCTAGGCATGTTTCGATCTGCTTGCCATTATTCGCGTGACCTTCCAATTTCTTGCTGTCAGGTTCATTGCTTCGCCTTTGCGGCAAAGCTGTGACTTTTTTGATAGAGATGTGCTCATGCTCCTTTTTTTTTGCGATTCTAGGTGGGTCATGCGATTCTAGGTGGGTCGACCAACATTCGAGTCGTCCTTCAATCGTGTCGCTACGATATGTTGTATGCCCACAGATTCTTACGATCGATCATTTGCCGCATCATCATTTGTCACAGCTGGGAGTGTATCACCCATCGAAAACATTTTTGTAGTCTACGAATGGTAGGGGTGCGAAAAGGAGGTGAGGGTGCATGTATTGCAGACCAAGAATGAGTATAAAGGGTGTATTTTTGTCCTACAAAAATAAGCGCGGTCTATATTGCGTGCCTTTTCTGGCATTGTCGCTTTGAGCCCAGCATTTCCTAGTCATGAATGGCATGCGTGTTACCAGCCTGGCATAGCACTCTTGATGTGAAGGTAGTAAGCGATCAGTTTAAAAAATGGGAAACGCAAGCAAGCCAGATGACAGTTACTTTTATGGCTCAGAAACATGCTCATTGTACTACTCAACCGTTTTTTCGAGTGTGGGAGCAGTGTTCAGATGCCGGCCCATCTCTGGTCCCGGTGTCTTCCATCTCGTCTTATCGATGTATGCATTGGGAAGAGGAGCGCTTTCGGAGGCCTTGAAATTCTTCTTCAACTTGTTGGGGGTGAGGGTCTGGTAAAAAGCTATGCTCTGTGAGCTTGCATTGTCTCCATCTGTGATATTTGGCTTATACTGCATGTGCAGAAGCTGCAGATAATGCAATCTTCTAGACACTATGTGGCATTTTTTTTCCCTGGTCCCAGTTTCATTACTTATTGTAGCTTCAGCCAGCCAGTCTATTCTTTGGGTGGAAGCTTTGTCACGGTGTTGTTGTGTCTGTACAAATATGTATGTACACAGATAGGCCATATTAATGTTAAACGAACTGTAAAATATTGCGAGAGCAATTATATTAGACATATCAATTCTTGCCATCGTTGTTGCTGTCATTTTCCACTTGTGTATATAGGTAGAGTTGAACCTCTTTATAAGAGGCACTGATGTAACAGACAGATGGGTATAAGAAGTATCAGCGGGCCTATATTAAAATGCAGGTTGATCAGGAAATCAAAATGTGGTACCGTGCTTGTAGGGAACATCTCATATAAGAGAGAACTTCTCCTTGGCACATGTCTCTTATAAAGAGCGTCAGCTATACATGTATGCATGTAAAACCAAAAAAAAAAAAAGTCAAGAAGAAAATGTTTTCAAAGCACATGACTGGATTCATACTACCCACCTTTTGCTACAAGGCGTCACTAGTTAGGCAATCCAGTCACCATTACAAACATCCTCTTACACTCAAATGGCAAGCTACTTATAGACATACTTTACAGTTAGTGGTCATGTCTGATACCTGCTTCAGTGTCACAGAGACTAGTGCTATAAGTGCGTATGATATGGCTTTAAAGAGCTTAGGTGTGGCTTAGCATGGCCATCGAGAAGGGAAACCACTGTTGCAGGCAATCTGTGAACTCTGCTAAGCAATCGATATTTCAATAACTTATTGTGACAATAATGCATAAAAAGGCTCTGCTTTGAGCTCTCGCATACATACCGGCAACATTTTATGTCATTGGTGCAATACAATGACATCATCCTATAGCCGCCGTGTTGCAGCTTCAGCATGGTGGAACGCTGTGTATATTACGGCATGTGCAAGCCATTTTATGTCTTAGAACCTGGAAGGCTCTGCATATGAAAGGTGCTTGTCGTTACAACCATCATTCTACATGCAGCTTGTTGTCGCCACTGGGTTGTTCTCATCGCACCAGTTCTGCCGCACCGCTGCACGCCTGCTTGCTTAGCTCGTGTTTACTACTATTCATATTGCTCCTACAGCTGCCAGTCATACTTCGTATATAGGGTTCGAATTCGTTCAGAACTAACAGACTATGATGTCAGTTCTCATTAATATTGTCTCTAATAAAAAAAAACGAGCCCTTAAAGTTACACGTCTTTCTTTTATTTGAATTTGTTGGTATCAAATTCATTATTTTGCCCTTGTGATGAAACTGACCTTTTCACAAAGCTGTGCAAGTTGTGGGATTTTTATGCAAATTGTGCCAAGACTCATTCAAATGACATAACCTCTTTACCCTTAATAACTGTTATTATTTTTCTTACAACAGCATCAATACATGTAGCAAAACATAACTGTGAAACTTAAAATTTGCTGCCCGTAGTGGCACACAGGTAGTGTACATAATGACACTCGACCTAGTTACTAGAGTCCTAATTTGTCCTTTCTCTATCTTCGTAGCACACCATCTAGCACTCATGCAACCCATCTGTTATAACCAGAATGCCTATTTCTGAACAGCCTCGTCACTTGCACCATTTATGAGAAATATGCTTTGGAAGATGTGGGCACAACAAAAATAAATTGTCGTTCTGGTCAGCATTCATTCTGACTACCTTTTATCAAAAGTCCCAGTTGGTAACTGCTAATGCACCTGTACACAACATATTCGACGTTTCAGCAGTGATAAAAAAATGCTAGTTACATCATAGACAGCACCTCTCTTGCAGCACTGTTAGGATTACATCAATGATCAATGGATTACTTCCATGAAAATCAAATGTTGGACAATCTAAGAAGAAAGGCGCATTCTTATCTGACTTCTTGTTCAAGGTGCTCCAGCAGTTTCAAAATGAAACAGACGCTTGTAGTTGCACACTTTAGGCTTCGTGTGCAAGCATTGTATTTTGTTTATTTGAAAACATTTAGAAAGCTTACATCACAAGCTACTTACATGTCACTTGCCACAATTTAGGAACTGATGGCAAACACTAACACAACAGGACAATCAAAAGTTTAAGCAAGCTAGCTAGCTACCATCTATGAAAAAGCCGCTAGCAAGATTGTCCAGTATCATGAATTGTTGGTACAAGAAACATGTATGCACATGTGGTCATTGCACACTACAATGACTGTGCATTGCATTAACTAAAATTAAAATAAAGCACATGCAATGCCAATCCGTGCTTTACCTGTCACCCTCATTGTGTGTGCCATTGTTCGTTTTAGTAGCTCAAATGCCAGCTCACTCTCATCTTATAGTCGTGCTGACTGCAATGTGGAGCTGTGTTATTCCAGCCATGACAAAACAACTGCCCGACATGTACATGTCACCTCATGCTGGCCCCCTTGCACAGCATGCATTAATCCCGCACATTAATTCGGGATTCACGCACGCAGCTTGTGAGCAAGCGCAAGAAAATGACCGTAAGGTTAGTGGCAAACCAGCTGATGTCCGTGAAATGGAAAGCGATGTGGCTAACAGTAGGCACTTGGCTTTTCATAACAATGATGCCTGTCAGCCACCAGTAAATTTGCTTATGATTGTGGAGACTAATGTCTTCCTTGTGAGATGTTGATGACTGCTTGCAGGAATGCCATGGGCCATATTTCTAAAGCTTATAACGCATAATCTTTGGTGAAAGTGGGCTATCTATTGATGCTTTTGTGTGCTTGTACCTTTCTCAGAAGCATTGATGTCACCCTATTTAGCTGGCACTACTTTCGTCCTTTCATACATTTTTACTGTGTTAAACAAAGTTTGTGCTTCTGCTATAAGATGACGAAACGTACAGGCTTGTTGAAGGAAGTGTACTGGGTGGCAGGGTCAGTTCTTTTTTTTTTAAACTGCATAATCAATGCCAAAATTTCTGACACATGCCATCTGATATCATTTTGAGCACAGACATGTCGCAGTAGTAGGCAAATGGAGTCACTAATTACATGCCATAAAAATTCATAAACACCATAATTCATAAACACCATTTGATACACTGCACTACAGACCTTCACAGTGTCTACGTTGCCTTTCTGGATGTGCCTGTATGCAAGCTGAGGCACGTTGTAGTATGGTCAACATTAGTGATTGGCGAGGATTGATTATAGCTTGTCTGCAATGTGCAAAGAAACTGGGCTGGGGTACCAAACAGTTACATTCCTGGTTTGTACACAGTGCATTCAAAGCCTCTGCTTGCTCCATGCACTCTCATACTTATCTTTGTTACTTCCCTGTTTTTTCTGCGTTTCTTTTTCTCATGCTACTGGCTTCTGTGCAGGTGTCAGCTGTGCAGGTGCAGGTGTGCAGTATGCTAGCTCTCTCCTCCTTTTTAGCTAGTCTCACTCTTAAAGTATGATAAATAGCATTTGCACATCCCACCGTTCCTTGTTTCCTGATGCTTTCAGCTTCAAAATGCTTGCTGCCTGTCACTGCTGTCGATGGATAGCCATCGAGACGAAGGTCACGCCAAGCCATTTTTCTCATGTGTCTACTTAGAGACAATCAGCTAGTTAGAGACAACACTTAAAAGTAGGAGCAGTGATGTGGGTAGTGAATTATTACTACTTGAAACGCCCCTTCTTCAATCCTGTTACATAAGTCTGGTGGCAATGTATCACTCAATCTGGTTAAGCTCACTGTGGAGCAACTTAAAGCTGTTTACATGCTGTGTTGTCTCACACTGTTTATAAGAGTGATGAAAAAATGGCTGGTGTAAATACCCTGTGCTATTAAGAAGGCCCGACAGTTTTATGACATTAATGCATCTTTGAGGCACTTGTGCAGTCGGAGAAGAAAGTGGGGTAGGAGCGAGTTACTGAGTGTTGATACAACAAACAGCAACAGAGCACACATGGGCTGTGCTGTAGTGCTTGTCTGTTATGGCACTGAGTGTCGAACATGATAGGCACGTTCTTACGTGCACAAGCAAGAGGTAGCCCCATTATAACATTATCAAAAAAAAAGTTGGTGTTGCATGTAAACACCAGTTGCAAAAAGCTGTTTGCAACTGCTGTTGCACATACTGCAAGACGTGTGCTATTCATGTGCGGCTGCGCAAATTTGGGTGCGGTGGTTCCTGGCGGCTGTCGCATCGTCCTCGAAGCTCTGGTGGCAGTGCCAGCAAAAGAGGCGCCGGCAGGCCCAGCAGGCATCCACTTTGCTAGCACTTTGGCGTTCCAAGTTAGTGTTGCACGAGGGGCACACTAGATGCTTGCCAGGGTCCTGGACCAGCCATGACTGCTGCAGTGAGGTAAGTGATGTGGCAATAAATTTTGTAAGAGTCTTAACAAGAACCAAATGAAGCATACACTTAGTAAACAGAAACCTAATAAACGAAAACACTGCTTTAATGGAACAAGTGCCTCTAATATGGTTGGTATCAGTAAAGGAAATCTTTCAGTAAAGGAAATTTTAAGTGATGTCTGCGGTCTACACCTATGACTTGGAATGACTTTCTCGTGCCTTCAGCCAGGAAAGAAAAAAAAAACCTTCACAAGCCGTGCCCTTGGCTGCTTCAAGGTTAATCAAGGATGCCATATCACACTCTCTGAGTCACACTCACAGCTCAAAGATGATACCACGTTGGAGTGCTTCAGTCTGTAGCATTAAGCTTTCATAGAATGGTATTAATATATTCCAAGCACTTCATTTTGACCAGCTCAGTGTAAAAAGCCCCCCACCAGAGTTCTTTAAACCTATCGGTGAACCCGCCCCCCACCTTGGACTTAAAGGAAAGAAAAAAAAGTTCTTTAATGTATCTGTTCATTTTATTTCGGTATGATAGCCAGTGCTGTTAACAATTCAAACAACATCAAGTCAAGCCATTATATCACAAAATAACAATGCAATGAAGCAAAACATAGTTTTGCAACCATGCTAAACAGTTGCGAGCAGCGTGAGTGCGGACGACGTCACTCAAAATTTGAAAGTCGCGCCTTGTATAGCAAAGCACCATCTGTCGAATGTAGGAGAAACCTCTTTGCTGATAGCGCCATGCAAGGACGGCGGCACAGAAGCAATACGCATGGCATCGAAAATGGCATTCGCGCAGGGTCATCAATCGCACTGCAAAGAAACACGCATCGTGCTCGCCATCTCAGACCATTGTGTCTCCAACCTATGCAAAGCGCAACCGCACCCACTGCGCCGACAGCGTGTTGTGCACCCGCAATGTCTACCACAACGTTTGTGTGCCGCCATCCGACGCTGCGTTTTTGTTGTTAGGTTTGTCGTTGTGAACTTAGTTGGGCAGCTGCTGCGCAGGGCGTGTTCGGCCGGTATACTAGCGACACGGCTGCATGCGCTGGAGCATTGGAACCGAGCGGGTAGACGACGATTCGGCATCGATCCATGCACTTTCGTAATGGGAGGAAACAAAAAGAGGTTTGGGCTACAAAACTGATTTATTGGCATTTTACGGGTCAAAACAAGCAATGTTGTCACCTGAAATTTTCACTGTTATAACTCCCGTGACTTTTTCTCCCGCGTAATGAACCCTCCCCCCAAATTGACGTCAACTTCTTTGAAAAAAAGGTGGGTTCATTATGCTCGTAAATACGGTATATCTGTAAGAATACTAATGGTGAAACATACGATTTGAGAGCTCAATATTTCTTCATGCGTATCTGTCTTTTGGAATTTTTTTGTTTCTTTTCAGAATGATGCTTATAGATTTGACCGCATGCATGAAGCTTCAGCAAATTAAATTTTCAGCATTTGGTCACTGTCACAGAGCATCTATCAGGGCCAAATTGTCAAGCTGATGCGATTTATATTTTTTTTTGTAAATGCTTAAACTTAGGTATTTTTGAACATAGAAGGCAATGTAATCATACACTAGCTGTGCAGTTATGAAATTTTATTGCATTTGTTGTATGAATTTTTTTGTTAGGTTATTTTTGATCGTTTACACTACCTTCAGAACAATTGCTCCATGTACTACAACTATGCCACAATGTAGTATTTCACAACTTTATCACATGTTACGAAAGTTGTGCACCTTCTTGCGGTCAGTACACTAAATACTGACGTATTTTGGTTGTGTACCACGGCAATTTGTCACAGAAGCATGCCATGGAATAACTATCTCGTTGTTATTCCGTGTAACATATCAGGGCACAGTGCAAAATTATGTTACTTTAGTTTATTTATTTATTTGTTTGTTTCGTTATACTCTCCAGGCCAAAGGCAGTATGGAGGGGGGTGAAACACGATTTTTTACTCATACAATGTTAGCTAATGATAAAAAAGTAATAAAAACAAAAAAAGATCAAGATATAAGCGGTGTACAAACAGAACAAGTAAGTTAGTGTGGGCGTTTATACAATGCTAGTTAGCGCAGAACGAAACAAGTGATGATCAGTCAAGATGGCCACAGATCCTGGAAGGCGGTTCCAGTCTGAATCGCTGCATGTTTTGGTTAGACATGACATAACGCCAACTTGATTAGGATGATCAATTCTAGATGATATGTAAGAAGGCTGAAAAATAAGTGCCTTGCGAAGAGTTGGAATATTATGATAAATTTTGTGAAACAGACAGAGGCGCAAGAGCATACGACGAGAGGCAAGAGATGGCAGTTCGAGTGAATTTTTCATGGCATAAATGCTAGAGTGACGACTGTAGTTGTGAAGAATGAAACGAACAGAACTGTTTTGGATTAGTTCAAGTTTATGACTTTGCTTTTGTATTTTGTTGTCTCACAAATTGGGACAAAAATGTTTTGAATCCATCAACTATAAATGGGCTTATTGCACAAAAAGAGCGCTTGGATTGTGCTGGAAGCTACCAATAGATGGCAAGGCATGGCTGTGCCACTAAAAGTTTATGTTGACAAGCATCATCGCTATGAGAATTTTCACTACGACTTGTTTTAAAACTATATAGGCCTGTACTTCTGGTTCAGATGTGTGTGCCAGCGACATGCGGTGGCATTCCATGGGCAGCTGCAGTATGTAGTGTGCAGCATCCGAGATCGTCAATTGGTGTGTCAATGATGAAATTAGCCAATACCTGTGGTACGTGCTCGCTCCCGTCAGTTTCGTAGGGTACTTAAATAATGCCAAATAAATGTGAGGATGGTGAGTCGGTGATATGCTGTGTCAACCATCACCACATCATTTTTTGTACGTACCATCAGCCTTCCAGACTTCTTTAAAGTTCAACCCTTCGTTTCGCTCTTAAAATGAGTGAGGTGGCTAAAGACCGTGGCTTGATTTCATCATGCTTGATCATGTCTTGTACACGCACGTGTCTTGCTTTGTTGATCTCGTAGTTCTTGTGCTTATGTATGAATGAAATTTACAGTTGTTTTTAGTTCTTGCATTGGATATTGCCGTTTCTGCTGTTCTGCAAGTGAAGACTTACTTTGTCGGCAGCAGTACCATTGGTAGGTAACATGGAGGCTCTGAAGGCAGTACACGACATTCCATAGTGGTACAGAGAACGGCACCTGCATGAACACATCAGGCAGGCAGTTGTTGTCATCAAAGGAGGTGTGATCTTTGACTGATACATAGACACTTACATACAGTCGCTTTGTGTTAGTCTCATAAATTGCGGACGGTACAAATCCATTAAAGCTCGTCAGGAAGAATTGCTGGTATTGGTTTTTCAGAAAGGAAGCTATCACTCATGGCCCGAGGTCAGATGCTGTTTAATAACAGTTGGTGACTCTACCATTGGTAAATTATGGTCTGCGGGCTGCATACATGCCCATGATCTGCTGCCAACTAGCACGTTTTCGACGTTAGTAATACACAATGTCCATGTAGCAGTGACGGAAGTACTGCTCCAATTGCGCCAAACTGCCCCAAAAGAGAAATGCTGCTCCATGCTGCTCCAAAATGCAATATTAGCTAGTAACGGCACCAAACCTGCTCTGAAAGGATGTTGGCAAACTAAAAAGAATGAAGTTGAATCATGGGTCCATCCCGTGAGCATAAGCGGAACCAAAATCAAGCTGTATACACCATCATCCTAGTATGCTACTGAATGACGTAAACCTAGGAAAATCACAAGGGGTGATACATATCAGGCCATGTTGGCCAATTTGTATTTTTATGCGGGTTGTATTTTTATTTATAAAAGAATTAAGTTATGCTTTCAAATAGAAATAAAAAAAAACAAGCATGGGGTTCGAGCTCGAGTAATTGCATTTTTATAATCAGTCTCTTTTTTTTTACCGTTTTGCGATTTTCATAGTTGACACAGGTGAGGGGCATTTAACACAGGTACGCAGTAAAAGATCAAAAGACGTTTAAAAAGTTGGTTGTGCTATACTTGTATGTCAACTCGACTATATCACGTGCTAAAGCTGTCCTCTCCAGCCTGAACACAAGAAAAGTTCGGACTCTTTTGACTCTCCCCCATTATTTTACGCCAATGATACTACTGTATGGCTCGTATACTTGCTGCATACTAGAATATGGCGTGTTTAATAATAAATATAAATATTCATTAGATGCTTAAGGGATGTTTTAGACTTCAGGAACATGCATCTTCTCTGAAAACACCAATAGCAACACTAAGCTGTAGCATTTTTGTCTGCTCCGAAGACACTTAAGCCTGCTCTAAAGCACCATTTTTTCTGCTTCGAAATCTGCTCCAAAAAGCAAACTGTCGCTTCCATCAATGATGAAGAAACAGGCTGTTTGACAATAGCAAGTGCCATCTTGGTGTTTATGTTTCTCATCATTATTTTGTGATTGTTTGTTGATTAGTATTTTGAATAGACATATTTTTTATTCTCACTGAAATAGCTTAATTCCTACTTTTGGTATACTTTAGGCAATTTACGTTTCTGTGTCAATTTATTCTGGCATACCTCTTGAGGGAGAGGAAAGTGATAGCAATAAAAGCAGTACAGAGTTTTTTTAACAAGTTAGTCCAGCCCCGCACCTGCCGCATGGGTCTAGTGTTTACGGCACTCAAGTGCTGACATGAAGGTAGTAGGATTCAATTCCAGCTGCGGCAGCCACATTTCGATAAAGACAGAATTCTAGGCCTGTCTACTTAAATTCAGGTCCGCGTTCAAGAACCTCACGTGGTCGAAATTTCCAAAGCTCTCAACTATGGTGTCTTTCATTATTGTATCGTGGTTTTGGGATGTAAAACCAGAACAATTCTTTTAGTTGAGCCCTCCACAGCAGTCTTTCTCTATTGTGTGGCCATCAATAAAATTAGTTGTCCATCCCTGATTTGAGCTAATCAAGCACTTGACCAAAATTTAATCTGAATAATAAACCAAAAAATTTGAAAACTTCGATTAAGCACTTGTAGTAGCCTAATCAAAGTTCCCATTCTAGGCTTATCTAAGTATCTAAGTTGGAGCATTGAATCTGTTGCTCACCGGAAGCAGACAGCATTGGTGCATCCAGGACAGACATGCACGTCACCCAAGACATGCACACCCTGCTCCTCGATATCTCTGTGGGCGTCCAATGCAAAGTGGCACTCGGGGATGGGGCAGGGAGACCACCGTCCAATCGCATCCGATGCCACAGAAGATTCAAACGACCTACGGGCAAGGTCTCTTAGTAGTCGAGGGTCATTCCCTGCCACATAGACGATGTCAGCCATGGCCCACGGTGATGCACAGTCCTAGAATCCGCATAGTGCACAAAGTGCAAACGTGTGTGCTTGAGTCCATGAACCTTTATTTTTATCTCACTCACAATTGTAAGGTACATTTATGAAGTTATGCTTGACAAAACAACAAAGATGTACAAAAGTTAGGGGACCCTTAAGCTTCGCCTTTAAGTGTTGAACACGATAGCAAAATGCGGCTCCTAGTGTGTTGAAATGGCATTTCCTTGAAGGGGCATAGAGTCTCACAGTGCCTCACAGATGGCAGCACATTATCTGGCGTTTGCTGTTTGCTTGATCAACGCCTCTGGAAAGGCATGATATGTTTTCCACTAGATGGACATAGTTGTCCATTTTTAGAGCTGCTTGAAGGTTCCTGCGTGTTTTTAGTGGCAATGGACGCACTATCTAGGCCTTTTCCGACGTAGTTTGATGGTGTCCCAAATGCGGCTACAAATCGCCAAATGGGCTCGCTTTCGTCAAGACACCTGTCGAACGAAATGCGTTAAGGAGACTCCTTCCACTGCCTGGCATTTATGTAGTTTTTTCCCGAAGAAGCTGTAAGTAACATTATCGCTTTGTAGAAAATCTACTTATTAGAAACCTATAGGAAGACACTACTTTACATAAAAAGCGGGATACTTTATATGGACCGTTGTCTAAGGTGGAGACAACAAATTCTGGCATAGCTCCTGGTAACATAACCTGAATTATTGTACGGATCAAAAGATCTTGCTGATTTCTTAAGAACAAGAATCTACTCATCACCTGTTTCAAGAACAGGTGACTTAACCCCAGCCCACCTTCTCTGACCTTACGGAAAAGATTAGTCCTAGACGTGCGCTCATATGTCGGCTTCGAGACAAAAGTTGCATAAAATATATGAAACTGCTGAATATTACTTCTTGTGCAGTAAAGAACTTAGAGAACATACCATATTTTAGCTGCCAAAAAAAACTTTACATACTGTGGATATCGCGAATATTTACAAATCCCGCCCACCCCAGCATAAAGTCTTGGTTAACATTTCATCCGCCCTGTCTCTCCAAAACTGCATATTTTCCCTATATCTATCTAGTGGTACTCCTAGGTATTTGTTGGGTACAGTGCTCCACTACAGTTTCTCAAAGACAGTACGAGTGTGCTGCCACAAACCATGTCATAACCCAGAGCTTTTGCCTCTATTCAATAAACTGCCAGTTTGATCACAATCCCTCTGTGGGATCTGCAGTGCTGTTCTCACACTTTCCTTGTCACATATAAATGCAACATCATCAGCATAGGCAAGCACTCGGGATTGCAGCTGGAAACCTCTCAATTGATCACTGTTAATAATTTTCCTACACAGGGGCTCTTAAGCAACGTGCCCAGGAAGCACCTACGAAAAGACCTAATAGGCATAGTTTTCCAACCCCACTTTACAGAACAATTTATGGGGACGGATTGAGTAGCGATGTCCTGAAACGCGTCAAAGAGATGTTAGTCCCACCTGGGGTTAAAATGTTTTTTTTTTAACTTCACACGGTCACACTACCTGTGAAATGGCTTGAACAATGAGGTACGTTTGTGCCGTGGGGAATGAACTGTATTTTATGTAACAAAGCAGAAACTGTGGAACATGTTTTTATTAAGTGTTGGAACGTTGTATTTTATTGGGATGTACTGCAGAGAACTTTGAAAAAGGAGCTACCAATCGACGCCTACGGTATTTGTTTTCTGCCTGTCCAAGGAAATTGTGTCCCGCATGACCTCTTCATGTTTCTAGGTCTTCATAGCATATGGAGGTCACATATGGATGTACAAAATGCTGAGCCCCAAGCGCGATCAATTAATGCCCATTTTGTTGAACAGGTAACGAAGCTAAGAGAAGTGCTGGACCACCGAGGGGCAAGCAATGAAATGCTCAGTTTATTAGACACAGTGAAAGCGTTAAAGGTGCATAAGTGAATACAGCTAGTCTTACGCACGCTGGTGGGTGATGTGTGGCATATGTATATATTGTCACGGGGTCAACACGTGGCCGAAGACAGGAGACTTCGTGTTCGGATTTAACTGTTTATTTGGGCGAACCTGTGCCCAGTAAACGGAAAGTCCGATTACAGCAGCAGTCTTGCACAGATAGCAGTCTAGGACTGATAGCGGCAAACGGAGCGTCGGCCTTCGTTCAACAACTGACAAGCGGCGAAGCGCGATGAACTACGATGAAACAATAATACCAAAAAAACACTGTTTTAGTTTGTTAACGCGCATGAAACGGCTTGAGGCGGGCGACATGCACGACTTCAGGTCGCGATCGGTGTCGTTGAGAGTTCGTGATGCCGTCGGGGACAACCTCGTAATCGAGTGGGCCGAGACGTCGAACCACCCTGTACGGTCCGAAGTAGCGTCGCAGAAGCTTTTCATTCAATCCACGTCGGTGTATCGGCGTCCACACCCAAACACGTTCACCGGGCTGGTATTCCACGAAGCGTCGTCGAAGGTTGTAACGGTGGCTGTCTGTCGTCTGTTGATTCTTGATACGGAGATGCGCAAGTTGTCGGGCTTCTTCAGCACGTTGAAGGTACTCGCTCACATCGAGGCTTTCTTCGTCGGTGACGTTGGGTAACATGGCATCGAGCGTCGTTGCCGGGCTCCTTCCGTAGACCAATTTGTATGGAGATATCTGCGTCGTCTCCTGCACCGCCGTGTTGTATGCGAAGGTCACATACGGAAGAATGGCGTCCAACGTCTTGTGTTCGACATCGACGTACATTGACAGCATGTCGGCGATCGTCTTGTTGAGGCGCTCGGTGAGGCCGTTGGTCTGTGGGTGGTACGCTGTCGTCCGGCGGTGGTTTGTTTGGCTGTATGCCAAGATCGCTTGAGTTAAGTCGGCAGTGAATGCCGTTCCTCTGTCGGTGATAAGGACCTCTGGGGCGCCGTGATGTAGGACGATATTTTCGACGAAGAACTTAGCTACCTCGAATGCACTGCCTTTTGGCAGGGCTTTTGTCTCGGCGTAGTGGGTGAGATAGTCGGTAGCTACCACGATCCACTTGTTTCCGAAAGCCGACGTCGGGAACGGCCCTAGTAGGTCCATACCAATCTGCTGGAAAGGTCGGCAAGGTGGATCAATTGGCTGCAGAAGTCCCGCTGGCCTTGGCGGCGGTGTATTGCGTCGCTGACAGTCCCGGCATGTCCTCACATAATGAGTGACGTCGGTGGTAAGACGTGGCCAGTAGTACCTTTCTTGTATCCTCGCGAGCGTGCGAGAAACACCGAGGTGCCCTGCCGTCGAATCGTCGTGCAGGACCTGCAGGAGTTCTGGTCGTAGAGCTGAAGGCACCATAAGGAGGTACTTAGCTCGAAGCGGTGAAAAGTTTTTCTTTTGTAGAAGACCGTTTCGTAGGAAGAACGACGCAAGTGCGCGCTTGAATACCTTCGGGACTTCGGCGGTCCTGCCTTCGAGGTATTCTATTAATTAGGGCCTTAAGTTCCGGGTCGGCCCGCTGTCGTTCAGCGAAGTCGTCTGTAGTTATCGTTCCCAAGAAGTAGTCGTCATCCGGGTCGTCGGGTAGCGGTTGGTCGACAGGCGCACGAGAGAGACAGTCGGCGTCGGAGTGTTTTTTGCCAGACTTGTAAATGACAGTAATGTCATATTCTTGAAGTCTCAGGCTCCATCGTGCGAGGCGACCTGAAGGGTCCTTCAAGGTGGCTAGCCAACACAAGGCGTGGTGGTCGCTCACAACTTTGAAGGGCCTGCCGTAGAGGTAGGGGCGAAATTTCGACGTAGCCCAGATGATAGCGAGGCACTCCTTTTTTGTTGTGGAATAATTTGCTTCCGCTTTGGATAGCGATCGGCTGGCGTAACTAATAACCCTTTCAAGTCCGTCAGCCCTCTGCACAAGAACGGCGCCAAGACCTACGCTGCTTGCGTCAGTATGTATTTCTGTCTCGGCGAATTCGTCGAAATGGGCAAGTAACGGAGACGTCTGGAGGTGATGTTTAAGCTCCTGGAAAGCGTGTTCCTGTGGCGTTTCCCACTTGAATTCCACGTCGGCCTTGGTAAGGTTAGTGAGAGGATCGGCGATGCGGGCGAAGTTTTTCACAAACCGCCTATAATAGGTGCACAGGCCCAGAAATCGGCGCACGGCCTTCTTGTCAGTGGGCGGCCGGCAGTCGGCAATGGCGGCTGTTTTCCGTGGATCGGGACGAACTCCAGACTTGCTGATAACGTTCCCCAGAAACAAGAGCTCCTCATACGCAAATCTGCACTTTTCTGGCTTCAGTGTGAGTCCGGACGTCTTGATGGCTTGAAGTACAGCTTAGAGGCGCCGAAGATGCTCGTCAAAACTCGAGGAAAACACGACGACGTCGTCCAAGTACACAAGGCAAGTCTGCCACTTCAATCCTGCCAGTACTGTATCCATAACGCGTTGAAAAGTTGCAGGCGCTGAGCAAAGGCCGAAGGGCATCACCTTAAACTCGAAGAGGCCATCCGGTGTTATAGACGCCGTCTTCTCTCGGTCTCTTTCGTCGACTTCGATTTGCCAATAGCCAGTCTTGAGGTCCATTGACGAAAAGTACTTGGCGTTATGGAGCCGATCAAATGTGTCGTCTATTCGTGGGAGAGGATACACGTCCTTTCTTGTGATTTTGTCCAGGCTGCGATAATCGACGCAGAAACGTAGGGTCCCATCCTTTTTCTTCACTAACACCACGGGGGATGCCCATGGGCTCTTGGACGGCTGGATAATGTCATCCCGAAGCATTTCATCAACTTGTCTCTTCATGGCCTCACGTTCTCGCGTCGAAACCCTGTACGGACTCTGACGGAGTGGTCTGGCATTTTCTTCGGTTATGATGCGATGTTTCGTGATTGGGGTCTGCCGAATTTTCGATGACGACGAAAAGCAATCTTCGTCTTGCAGGAGCAGGGCCTTGAGCTGTTCTTGCTTATTGTTCGGAAGTCTGGGATTGATGTCGAAAGCTATGGGAGGGGCTTGGTTCCTCTGAGCAGGTTCCGCAGAATCGGC